CCCTCGGGCCTCCCTCAGTTCCTGCGAATGATTTCTGTTAGACCCAGTCTTGTTTAAGTTCCTTTTCCTTTCAATAAATTGTACATAGTTCGAGCAATTGAGTCTGCTCTTGAGTCCACTGCATCCTTGTTTGTGACAACAGTGATCACAAATTATGTTTAAGGTCTTGTTTATATTAAACAAAACAAGATACAAAGCATTAGAAAACTTGTTAATAAATTCAGTGGGAGACTTGGACTTGAAATTTAAACATTTCTTTTCTTGACTATCTCACATGCACATATTATGAAACCATAGGGGAAGTTCTCAGTCATACTAGTTCTCTGACAGATTATATCTAAATCTAATGTGTCAGTCATCTAAAATTCTACAGGCCTTTATATTGAACATCACAGATGGCTCAGCTTATGGTGACCTTTTAGACTGATGCTGGGATATTGAAGTGTGGAATTCAGTAAGACATACAGTATTATGCAAACAATAGTATGCAATCCTAGACATACTTGCAAGAATGATGCTGATAAAAAAGGATAATTAACAGTTGCACAACTTTACCTCTTTTGTGTAGAGCAATGCAGTACTATAAAAAAGTATTGAGTCACCCTTCATTTCTTTACATTTTGCTGGGAAAATAGGAAAGTTCAGTGAAGTATGGGAAAAGCCCCTATATGTAAACGGAGTCAATTATCCACAAAAACACTTTAGGAGAGACCATGATACAATAAACAGTTTTAAGTTACAAATATTGGAACAAATGATGTCCTATAGTAACAACATCCTGAAGATACAATTAAAAACTGGTTCAGTCTTATTAAGTGGCTGAACAAAAACAAAATCAGCCAACGTCCAAACCTGGAGAACTATTACTCAGGACCACTTTTTAAAAAACATTACAAGTCTGACTCCTTGGAAGCATTGAGAGGTGGACGAAGACTTTCACACAGTATTTATTTGTTTTCACTGTTATTTCACACCTTTGAGTCTATAAGTATATCAACGCTGTTGTATATTATAAGCTTATCTGCTGGTTGAGAAGGCCTGGGCCATGTTTTAAATGTTTGTGCTGCTCTCTGCTGGTACAAAATAATAATTACAATTATCAATGGTTTAAGGTTTGATTAATTATTTACATATACACTAGCCCCAAATAAGATAGAATAAATGACACAGATATTCAAAACACAAGATTACAGCTAAGGCTTATTTTGTAATATACTAAAGTGACAAAACTTCATCTCCGAATTGTTACAGGCGTATCTTAGATCAAAAATGAAGATGAAGTCATTATAAAAAATCAAATACAGATGAATTTTGCAATTTCTAGTCAGACTTCCTGTCTTCGCTTGTCCATATTTTGATGAACACAGCCTCATGAGGTTTGAAAAGTGAAGTGACATCACGAAGCCTCGCCCCCCCAGGCTTTTATAATTAGTCACCTACAGTCACAAGCAGCCGTACACACTACAGCTTTCTACAGGGAGCAGAGAGCACAAAGCTACAGCCACAAAAGTGTTTGTGAAGACATACAGCTAAAGGAAAACTATGACGAGGGTCAGTCGTCAAACTCTGATAACATGTAAGTAAACATCAAAACAGGCTCCTTTCTGATTTACCTAGATCTGTTTTTAAGATAAAGGTCTTTAGTAAGTGACTGAAGAGCCATGTGAACTATCATGTTTATTGTTAGTATTTTTTTAGATTATAAGTGCAGAAATTACTCCCTTCAGTAGCTGATCTGTAAATTATTTGAACTGAAGGTTCTTTGGTGAAATCAGCCTTTGCAGTGTTTTTAAAATGCCTCTTTTCACTGGTTCAAATAGCTTGTTAGAAGTGAACTTTCAGTGTAAGAAGGTTAAACTCAGACCTGCTAGAAGTTACACAACACAATGCTTTTTCAGTGTTTGATTTGTTAAGGAAGTAAATGACACATTTCTACCGGTCTAAACTGAGTGATGATGACATGTGGTGCTAAAGCTCTCAGACAGGAAATGTGTTGTTTTTTTTCTTTTTTTGACTCAACACTATTTTGGAACCTTTGGGTTGGATCTTTATCACAATGTACTGCATCATCACTTTAATGTTTCTTTCTCCCACTGGTGATAAGTAGATAGTTTATTTTCATTAGATTCTCTTTTTTAAATTAAACTTTTAAAATTGTGATCAAACAACTATAATCGAAGGAGGAAAGAAATAATACATTCGTCATACTAGATCCCTGCTCTGACTTCCTTTACGTTGACAGAAACGCTGATGGCAAGACTGTGTCTGTGATGAAATATGTACTACACAGACTGTAAACGTTCAGCCTTTCTGGTCTTTTATTCATGTTAAATTTCAAATCAAAAGATGGGGGCAGCTTTTTTTTTCATGGTTCTGCCAGATAAATTATCATGACTAACCATGACCAACTACATTCTGATTGCACAATGGTAGTGGTCAAAGAGGTATGAAATATACAGTCCCGGTCAAAAGTTTAAGATCATATTTTGCATGGTTGGATCTTAACAAGGTTCCAAGTAGAGCTTCAACATGCAACAAGAAGAAATGGTAGTGAGACAAAACATTTTTTGAGCATGCAATTTATTGAAAACAATGCTTAAACCGAAACAGTCTGTTTTACAGCTGATTTTCCAGGAAGCACACATGTTGCAAATTTAAATGTTAGAGATCCTGCAACTGGCGTTTGGGCTGTGTAGGGGTCTCTCTCTTCCGGAAGATGATTGAATAAAAAGAAATATACATTTTTTAACACACTATGAGTCAGTTTTCTCTGTTCCATCACGGGGACAAAAGAATCGGGGTTAATACTACCTAACTCTAATTTCTATTTGGAAATTCATTTAACACCAAGAACTTTCAGTGTGACACTCTACTTATCAGCTAAAACATTCTCAATCCTACCTGGTACATATGGAAGGGGTCCACGTTACTATCGATTTCTAAAGCTCCGAAATACTAGTTTACCATCATTTTAAGAGAGAAAGAAAGGACAGGAAAATTCCAAAGTCTACATTCGGAAGCAGGAGGAATGTCATATATCACATTCTCACCATCTTACAAAAATCTCCTGTCTTGAATTGCAGGTCTGCTGTTATTCTGTGCAGTAACAAAACAGATAGTAACCTCCACAGCACCACCTTCAACTTCTGCAAGCCTTAACGAGACATCAACAGCAGGTGTCACTGAAAACACCAGCACCACTGACCTCACCCAAAGCACCAACACAGCCATTACTCCCACAAGCACCACCACCCAAACATACAGCACCACTGACCTCGCCCAAAGCACCAGCACAGCCATTACTCCCACGAGCGCCACCCAAACAAACAGCACCACTGACCTCGCCCAAAGCACCAGCACAGCCATTACTCCCACAAACGCCACCCAAACAAACAGCACAACTGACATCGCCCAAAGCACCAGCACAGCCATTACTCCCACAAACGCCACCCAAACAAACAGCACCACCGACATCGCCCAAAGCACCAGCACAGCCATTACTCCCACGAGCGCTACCCAAACATACAGCACCACCGACATTGCCCAAAGCACCAACACAACGATCACCTTAAGCACTTTAAATGCAAGTATTCAAACAATCCCAGAAACTACTACCACTCCTGGATTCACCACCCCTCCAAGAGCCACCACGAAGGGTACCACTGTGGGGCAAGATGAACACAAGCCCAAAGGTCTAAGCTCAGGTATGGAGTATTGCTCAGATATAGTTATCCTTTCTGTTTCATGCATTTCCTTTCCTTTCCCGATCGATCCCACAACAATTCTGCTACATGACAGTAAGTCAGAAACCAGTGTATCTTCACTGACAAGAGGACATCAAGACTGAAAAATGTCATCTAATATCAAAAGCCTGAATGCAAAAATGGTAACAATAACCAGAGCTTGACTAGACAGTATCATGTAGATTTTTATCATAGTTTAGCATAGAAGCATTACATTATTACTAATTAGTTATACATAGAAATCTGATCTAAAAAAATGTATAGTTTATCCTCTTGGCACCATAAAAGCTGACAAACTGCCAGTTAGTTGAGTCGAGTTACTGTTGCCTTCCTTTTCACTTGATGCAGTCTTGCTATTTTCTTCTGACCTCTGGGATTAACAAGGTATTTTCACCTAGAGTTACTGCTCACTGGGCCATTTTTGGACCATTCTCTGTAAACCTTTGAACAGATGGTTGTGTGGGAAAATCCCAACAGATCAGCAGTTTCTGAGATTCTCAGATCAGCCCATCTGCCACCAACAACCATGCTACATTCAAATCACTAAAATCCTCTTTCTTCACCCTGCTTATGCTCAGTTTGAACTTCTGCATGTCGTCTTGACCATGTCTACATATTGAAATGCAATGAGCTCCCATCATATGATAGATTAGATGATTTGTGTTAGTGAGCAGTTGAACAGGTCTACCTAATAAGTGCCCAGGGTTAAAAATGGTATACCCAAACTCATAACTCCTAAAATGTCAAACTCAGTAGGATTAAAGGTAACACTTTATAAAAATGACCCAAGAGCAAGGCCTCAATGCTCATATAATTAAATGGAATTTCAATGTATTGTGTTTAAAATTATGTAATTATATTTAACTAAAAATACAGGTAGCTACACTCAAATAAGGGGGAAAGCAAGGAAAAATTATAATGTAATTTTAAAAAAAAATGGATAACAGAATATATATTGTGCACATAAAATAATGAATATTAAATAAAGATGTTAAAAAATAAGCATAAAAAATGGAAAGATTAAGGCCTGCACCCCTCCAAAAATACAGCAAAGGATGACAGATGGAAAATATTATTTGTTTCCTTAAAATTTCCTCCAAAATACCATAAACATAGCATTTAAAACTACTTACAATGTAATTTATGTCTCCTTTCCGGTAAAATACATGAAATTATGCACTTAAAATTACTTACACACCTCTGAAATTTACTTATAGTGTAGGGTTTTTGTTTGTTTGTTTCTTGCAAAACTTGTTCTTATTCAAGTGTCTCCAAGTAGCTGGTAAGTAATCAGACATATCACGTAAAGTAAAGTAAGGAAGTATACTCAATGTTTATCATATATAATTTATTACTTCTTCTTCTTTTTTTGATAACACTAAACTGTAGTTTGGATGCTACAACATTTACCTGAGACACTGCCACATATTTGATCAGATAGTACCACATTACACTGCACCAAAACTTGTTACCCAAGTACCTGCCCTTTCTAGACAACTCTGTGTTTATTGCAGATGCTCTGTCAAGACACCCACTGTGTGTTTCCTTGAAATGATAAATTATTTTCTTATCTTTATTGTACTCCTTCAGATATCTCTAGTATGCCAGTCACTCATTAACTTTTGGTTTTAATCAAAGAATAGTTATAGTATACTGCCAGTAAAGGGCACGTACTCTAACAAAATGACTGGTGTCTGACCTGAATCTGATGTAAACCAGCTGTCTGTCTATAACACCCGAATGTAAATATCAGCGAATGTGTTGAACATATGATTTACAAACACAGTGGCACAGGTACTCATAGTTCTTTTGTTAAATGAGCAAAGTGAAAGCATGCAATACTCATGCACTACCCCAGCCCTTCTGTTGCCTGTCTGTGACTGACCTCTTTTCAGCGTGGTTTAGTCTGTGGTTAATATGTGAACAGTTTCCTTTCACGCTTCCTTGTTTACTTCATAGTAAAGTCCTTACCAGCTAAATAAATGCTAGTTCTTTCTCTGCTTATTCACTAAGTGTACAATATCCAGTCATTATCATCACTTTCAGATCACATTATAAGGTATACTAAAACATTCTTTATGTTACTTCATGGGCATTTGGACCATCTAATCTCATTAAAGCCAAAATAACTTTAAGAGATTTATAGCAAAGAAAAATAGTTTTCCACAAATGGGAATCTACTGGGGGCAGCACGGTGGCACGGCGGTTAGCACTGTTGCCGCACAGCAAGAAGGTCCTGAGTTCAATTCCACCATCAGGCCGGGGTCTTTCTGTGTGGAGTTTGCATGTTCTCCCCGCGGGTACTCTGGCTTCCTCCCACCATCCAAAGACATGCAGCTTGTGGGGATAGGTTAATTGATTAATCTAAATTGTCACTAGGTGTGAATGCGAGTGTGAATGGTTGTCTGTCCCTATGTGTTAGCCCTGCGACAGACTGGCGACCTGTCCAGGGTGTACCCCGCCTTTCGCCCTATGACAGCTGGGATAGGCTCCAGCACCCCCCGCGACCCTGAAAAGGATAAGCGGAAGCGAATGGATGGATGGATAGGAACCTACTGCTTATTTCCCGTTATCATTGGCTAGTGCACCTGATAATGTATGTCATTTCATGGTTTGGTTCATTTCATATGAATCATCTGGTTACTTAAAAAGGCCCAGAAAGTATGGTGATCATTTATGAGCAGTTACACATTTTTCAACACCAATAACACCTAAACTAAAAGTTTGTATTTAAAAAATAAATAAATAAAAATTTGCAGGTCATGATCAGTTCCAAATGGTGATTTGTGTTGTCAAAGAATCTTCACTGCTCAGTTACAGTCCATTCTTTGGAAAATAACAGAATGCATTTTCAGTGTCTATTTCCAAAGCGTGCCACCTATCAAAGGTTTAAAGACTCAGTTCAAAGATCAGATAGCTTTCTGATAAACTGAGGCACATAGTCAGCAATAAGCAGGTCATTTAATGTTGAAATTAAGGCTAGTAAGAGTATTAAGAGCAGCCTTGTTTATCAAGGAAGTGTTTATTGATTATCGCTGAATATTTTTCTAGGCTGTGCCGCCAACAAATAGAAACATAAGATCCTTGAGGTGGGCTGATTTCATCCAGTTTCTCACATGGAGATTACTTATCAAAACTAAAGCTCAAAGATCAGTTACTTTAGACATTGGGAAGAAAAGAATTATCTTAAGTTCATAGTACACTGTGCCACAAAATGGCCACCACCTCTCGAGACTTTTAGCTTATCTCTGCATAGTCAGTACAGTCGGCTGAGGCCACTGACATACTTAAACATCAGGTGTGTTCAGTTGATGGGAAAAACACATTTTATGAATCCCAAATGAAGAATCATTCAATAAAGTTTTCAATACACTTTAGACTGATTTATTTTAGCTTGTTGGTGGTGTGGCTCTTTGGTTAGTGCTTTCCTGATACATCAGTCGATTGAGTTCGGGTTGATTTCAACTGTAATTTACAGAGTCCTTTAACCTTTTGTTGATTGCTATTTTTAAAACAGCTGTCCAGTTGTTTAGTTTATGACCAAACACATGCACAAAAAGCCTATATATTTAGGCTGTATTCACATTAAGTAATTTATACTTAGCTGAAGAATCTGAACAGTAAACATAACTCTGACCACCAGTTTTTTCAAATTTAGTGTGATTACTGCATATTATGTGTGCGCATGGTTAACCCTACTTTGTCCTGGCCCATTGAAAAGGTCAGACCAGGCAGGGTTTGGTTTGACTTAAGAACAGTGCACATGTAGTGTGATTGCTAACCACTCCATTGAACTCTTTCAAACCAATATAAAAAGTAAACTAATAAACTGTCATGTAGGCTGTGTGGCAGGAAGAGGTAGGACCCAATGCAGGACCCAAATCAAAAAGGAGTGAACTAAAGAAGGAACTCACAATCTAGTTACTAGGAACCATAAAGCAGAAGGGGAAAAAAAGAACATTTACAACTTTGAGTTTACAAGCAAACCATGATACACAAGGACGCACACAGCAAATGGGGACGATGCGACAATAAGAAGAGGAAGACTGAGGATAACGAGTGGATGGGAAACAGGGGGAAATACACCTAGAACTAACCAGTTAGCAAATGTACAAGTAGAAGTACAACTACTACATCTAAAAATACTCCAGTAATAGTTGAAGTACTGATCTAACTTCTTTCTCAGGTAAAAGTAAAAAAGTACAGGCTCTGGAATTTACTCCAAGCAAGAAAGTAAAAAGTAGCTCTGGAGGGCGGTTTTTTTATTTTTGTGCAATGCTAACTGAACCTTCTGCTAGATTTAACATAATGAATAAATAATATCAGTAGATGAGAAAACAAAATTTAGTCTAACTTTTTAAAATTCTAACTATACTCAATTTGAATCTAAAGAAAAAGAAGGAAAAATTGAAAAAAAATCTATATATTCTGTTGCCTACATTGTAGAGGGTGACTTTGCCTCTAAACAGGCAAATGTGTATAATCAGGGGTTTAATTGGGTCACACACTGTTCTTTACTTTAAACCCATCACAGTAGAGCAAACTAACCGGTTTATCCTCCACTAACCTGCAGAGAATTTTCATGCAGCTTTTAAATAACAGTTAGTCTACTTCAGTTTAATTTAAAAGCATGTTTTACAAAATAAAATAAAAAACAACCAAAAATCATAATGTCACATGTACTGATTTAAAAACATGAGGACTTATGAAACTGACCTTTGTGGATTACAGTGTTGGACCCAAATCCGCCACAAACTTCACAAAGGAACACACACTAAAGTACACATGCACTTCAACAAAGGGAAGACAGGACTATTTATACACAGAATTGACTGGGAGTGACAAACAGGTGAGGAAAGAGATACAGGTGACAAAAAGTGAATGCACATCAGGGAAGGGCCGACAGGAAGAAAAACTAACACAGAACATTAAAGAAACTAACATTCAAAGTAAAACAGGAAATGACGGAAAGAGACGAACAAAAAAGAATTTCAAGGAAACACAAATGGGTTGAGGCTTAAAGACAGAGTGAGACAGATGGAGGCACAACTAGAAACAGTCAGGAGTGTACTAAGATAATAAAATAAGAAACACAAACTATAAAAAAAAACAGTTAAACACCATTAAAAAAAGAAAAAAAGAGACTCAATAACAAGAATGATCAAAACAGGAAATGACAAACCCAAGTGAAACCAAACAGGAAACAATAAAAACCTGAAGGCAAGTCAAACTCCTGGACTCAAACCACAGACTATAAGAGGAACCCTTAGACTTATTGTCTATTTCTTTGTTCTTTTCTCCAGGAAGTATTGCAGCCATCGTTTCTTTATTCATTGTATTGGTTCTCGTTGTGTTGGGAGGGCTCTACTACTACAAGATCAGGTGAGTCAACTTGTGTTATAGAAGCTGAATGCTCATAGTTCATAGCCAAATTTGATTGTACCAGTCAGATGATTTCATTTCTCCAAGCAGCCCCCATATGTGTGTTTTTTTTTCATTGATGGTATAAAAGATGGCTTCCAGATCTAAATAGTAAAGCTAACCTAGAAGTGTGTCTGTGGTTGCAAAATGAACTCAGTCATTAGATTCAGGTCACACTAAGTAGCAAAATAACTGCCCTTAGAAATTTCTGATCACTGCAAGAGTGAGAAAGGTCAACCCCTCGCTGAAGTGTTTGGAACACTGCTTCTCTCACTCTGTTTCGTCTTTGTATTTTCTGTTTCAGACGGACAAACTACGGTCGTCTCCTGGACAGCCAAGATTACGGCATGACAGGAAACTTCAACAACCCAATGTATGACCCCTATGATGCTTGACCTCTGATCCCAGAGAAATCCAAAGTCCTGCAGGCAGAGCCAGTCTGATCAGAATGTGCTAACAGTATGTGAATGATGACTTCATGATGGTCAGATTTTTCAAGTGTTAGCTAGACATCGAGCCAGTCACGCCACTGCTCGAATGCACTGAATTTCTCGAACTGCTATTGTATTTCCAGTGTGACAAAAAAGTATTTATTTCAAATAATAGCAGCTACTAGCATTTTCTCAGGTACCTTTTCAAAGAGCTTTAGCTTCATGAACTCTCATATATGATCACATTTCTAAGAGTGGAAAGTCCCAGGTTATCTAGTGTGTTTGTACAGGTGTTATGACTTTTCTCAGTGAAGATCAGCTCCAGTGTAACATTACAAGAGACACTGAAAAAACACGGACGGTAGCAAATAATAAAGAGCCAGCAGAGAAACCTTTCCAATATGCCAATGAAGTGATGAGAAAAGCTTTTGATCATTATACAATTTTCATAATAATTTTGATTTATAGAAAAGTGAGATATATCGCAAATCTAAGATGGAGACACGTTTTAACAACTCCAGGTGTCCATGTTAAGTGAAGTAAATATAGTCATTTAGATCAAATGTTTTAGCTTTATTAGTTTTTCTTATTGTGTGTGTAAAAGTGTCAAACTGAATGATGTAAAGGAAGAGAGTGACCAGCCTTTGAAAGGAGGGTATTTAATTCTTTAATTGTATTCAAAAAGCTAAAAGATGCATTTTTTGTATTAAACATCTTGTGTGCCCTCAGTAAAACACATAATAAGGTGTTACCTCTCTCTCAAACCTGATCAGCTGCATCTGCCATTTTTGAGTGACATTCTGTGTTGAGATGTGGTTTGTTTTCATATTTCTGGGATATTTCTGTCGTCAGCCAGGCTGCTGTTTTGACTGTTTGTATATTTTAATGAGCTCGATAGATGTGTGTTTGTGAATAAATTGGTGAATAAAGGTGATTAAAGTCAGTGTTATCACCATTATGGCAACAGCAATCTGAGTGATGTTGTGGAAAATGTAGAAGCTAAACCCAGCGCACTTTAATGCTTCAGACTTTTCAGCTGTGGAGTATACAGAAGAAGTACTGCAGCTATCTAAACACAAAAGCATGATGGCAGTAATTATCTGAAACCAATAAAATGGCACGACAACACAGCATGTGTAGCACACGCACACAAATGCTGACATTCGGTGTGATGTCTTCATCTCTTTGCCCAGCAGACTGCAGAGCATTTATTAGTGGAAGCTTTAATAATAGTCCTGCCATCATTGCCATCCCATCCAAACTGCTTCCATGCTTCCTCTTTCTCTCATGGTTTCGCATGAAATCCTCCTCCCACACCCACACACAGCTTGTCTGTGTCATTTCGTTAGTCTATCTTCTTCTTTAATAATTTCCACAGAAGCTCTGAAAAGGTCAAATTCTGTCCATTATAAATGTTTATTTCTGCTGTAAATCTAGTTATTTTAAGAGAGGAGTCTGTGGGGATTGATTCAAATGGCCACTAGAGGAAATGCAGTTTTGGGCATCACAGCACTGACCGCATTTTTTAGCCCCAGAGATTGCCTCTTCGCTCAAAATAGAGTACTTGCGACTATTCTGTTTCCTTTGCTACATGACACCCATTTTCCCGAAATGCTGTACAGGGCTGTCTAGAGGAAAGACTGGAGGAAATCTGGTGGAAAGAAGGCCTGTGATTCACAAATTCGAGTAATGGAGCATTTTGCAGGGAAATCATTCAGATTTGACTTTAAACAATTCTAATCTAAAGCTGCAAAGTTACAAGTAGTTGCAGATGAAGGAATATTTCTTCCCAACCCAATAAATAAAGCAACATAAAATGGAATTCTTGAGTACATGAAGTATTTTTTAACGTTTTTTCTTTAAATGTGAAACTAATAATAGAACAGGACGAGAGAAGGGAAAACAGTGTATGCAAAATAAACAAAAGACAGGTTAGTTGAATGTGTGTGATGTGTGATTTGTAACTGGATTGGCTACATATGTGTGTGATAAAGAAAAATGAATTCAAATGAATAATAATTTTAACTTTAATCATCATTATTATTATCATCCTCCTCCATTGTTGTGATCATAACAACACCAACCTGATCATGTGTGTATTATCATATAAATGGATATTTATATTTTGAAGTGATATATTTATGTATGAGGTTCTAGAAAGTATATGAAAGTAAAGCTTATATAGATATTTTATATTGTAAAGATAGAGGAAAAAGAAAAAACTGAAGTACAGCATTTGAAATGTATTTTATTATACCACCTCTCTGTCATCATTGCCGGGCAGCAGCAGTAATAATAGAGGGAGCAGAGTCCTGTGCTGCACTGTTATTATCAGGCTCTAAATACTCCAGGCAGTGTGTATATGTGTGTGTCCTTTATAATTACCATTATTTACATTAGAAATCAGAAACATCTGGATAAGAAGTAAGAACTACAACGACTTAAACTTACCATTTGAATATGAGCCACAGTGTATCACTCACACTAATCATTCAGACATGTAATTTGAGCAGTTCAGTGTCAGTACACAGCAAATACTGAGCTGTTGATTTGTCCTGGATATTAAGATGGTTTAGGTTCATTTACCGCCTTCAATAAAGTGCCCGGCTCTGACAACAGGAAGTAACCCTTTGCTCTCTCACGCTTCATTGCAACAGTTTGGAAACCACAGGCTGATAAGCTGCAAAATGAACAATAACAGGGAGGCTATGGATAAATTGAAACAGCGATTACGTCTTTCCCTCCTATTAAATTCTGCATTACAAAGTTTGACAAATAAGAATTAAATGGGCGAAATTTAAAGATCGGAATTTAAAAAATCCTGTAACAATATTGAGCTTTGAACAAAAAAACCTGTTTATTATTTCTGACATACTTGAGTCCTTAAAAGGACCAAATCCAGAATGAAAAGCATGAGGAACATGAACCTGCAGGCATCATTTTTGAGAAAAACAGTACATTTTAACTTCAAAACCACCAAAAAGCTGCATTCGCCCACTCACTCATAAGAGATGCGCTAACAACTAAGAACAGAAAACCACGGTTTGAACTTTAGTTTCATTTAAGAGGAAAAACAGGAGGAGGTTTCATTTTCGACCTAACTGGAGCACTTTTGCCTACTGAAGCTTCACTGCATCTGGTTTCAGCAGTTTTAACTTCAGGACCATGAGCTCAGTTTGGTGTCTGAAAAACAGGTGGGTGTATAAAAATGTGTTTCATTCAGATAAACTAAACTGTGGTGATGCTAGAAAAGGAGCAAATCATGCAAAGTTTTAACTTTGTATGATTTTAAGATTCTCTGTGTAAAGCTGACTTTGCTGAATGGAAGTATCCGTATTATCATGTTTCGTCTCCATATAATCTTTTAACACAAGATATACTCAAATGTAGTGCGCAAGTTATCTTTTGCATGGAATGTCCTGACTATAATATGTGGCCATGAGTGCACATGTGCCCTATAGTTGTTTGACCCCATTTGCAAAGGCAAATGAAAACCTCACAAAGACAACCTGTTTGTGTGTAAATCAGTTTATTTCAGTTATCCAGGACAAACTAGAGCCAGACAATGATTAACACCCAGGTTTAACCTACAACATTTGGTTAACTGTCGACATTTAAAAAGGCAGAAGTGGAAAATACCTTTGGGGATTTTTCTAATCTGGCTTTGGTTTGATGTTAAAAGTTCATGTGTTTTGACTAAACTCCATTTACAAAGCTATGCAGCGAATCTGTGTTTTTCTATGAAAACCGATTTTATTGCCCCTTAAATTGTTAGTGTTTTCATAAAAAAATCACTTGAGAAAAGAAAAGAAAAAAAAGAAAACATAATCATTTCTTTTTTCTTTTTTCATAGTATTGTCACGTACCACCGTAGGAATGTTTTGGACTTTGAACTTTGTTTCATTTAAGAGGAAAAACAGGAGGAGCTTTCATTTTTGACCAAACTGGGACACTTTTGCCCACTGATGCGTCACGGCATCTGGTTTCAGTAGTTTTAACTTCCAACTTCCAAAGTGCAGGAGGAGACAGGATGTGAAAGCACTTTAACTTGAAGTACTGGCAACTTACAGAGAGGACAAAAATAAGCACAGAGCCTGGTCAGAGCAGAACAAGGAAACGTAAAGCTGAGGGTTACACAGCAATGAATACAGACAAACAAAGGGTTTAGAAGAAGTCAAAATATTCAACACAAAGCACTGGGGCAAAACCCAGGACCATGACAGAATTACTAGAAATATCAAATAAAACACAACCAGAAGGTCTCTAACTCAAATAATATCAATATCAACTTTATTTGTAAAGTACTTAAAAAATCACTCCTACTAGGCTGTACATAAAACTATACACATAATCAATAAAAACAGTAAAAAAAAGAAAAAAAAACACCCCAAAAATAGCCCATAATTAAAAAGATTAGTTTTAAAACTGGACAATGTAAGTGACTGTCGAACGTGCAAACTGAGAATGCTCTGTGCCCTCTGAATTTCAGCTTATAAAGCCTGCAAAATACACGTTTATCCAGTTGAATAACTAAGTTAATGTAAACATTTTTGTTTTTAACTACTATATTCACTTAATATTGTTTTAACTACTATATTCACTTAATAGAGGTGGTTTGTTCCACCCCCTCACAGGACAACAGTGTGTAACACAGAACTGTTTGACCTCAAAGTAATGTAAGTGAAATTCTCTGAACGTCACAGCTGTGGTTAAAGCCAACACCGTACGAAGCAGGCAGCTGAATATCAAAATACACAACATGTCGTATATGTATATGTTCCAAAATAACATGCCAAACTAATCAGCAGTTGAATGAGTCTTCTAAACTCCCACATGGTGGCACTTGAAGGAACACTGCAGTATTATGCAAGTTGGGATGGAAATTATGCACGGGCATAAATCATGCTATTTTATGCAGAAAAGGAAATAGAAACAAAAAACTGTCAGAGATTTGCACAATATGCTAACAAAAGCAAATGTAAGAAATAATTCGAATGGACATTGGAAAATGACCAAATACTTTATTTATTTATGTAGTTTTATCTTATTTCAGTACCTTTTTTTAACTTCAGCTCGTTTCACTTAATGTGAATAAGGGTGTTCAATAAGGAGAGACCATTAAAAGGAATTGAGCACGATTTATTGATATACAGGACTCTTTGGAGATTAGACCTCAATCGCGCATCACAGTCCCAGCAGTGACAGGGATTAGGGCAGGATCCCCTTGGAGACATCTAGACGCTGGTGGTGGAGAAGAAGATGGAGGCTTGAACGGAGCCTGAGTAAAAAGGAAGAGGCGGAGATGGGGGAGAGGTGGGTTGCACAAGGGAGAATGACAGATGAGCGGTGAGATTTTGAGTACGCAGAGTTGAGGTTGATTGGCCTGAAGAAGGTGGGCAGAAAGATGATTGGACTAGAGCAGTGATGTCAGCAATAAGCTTGACTGTGTGGGAAGGTGAAAGTGAAGTAAAACTTAGATTAGCCACTAAAGAACTGTGGAGCAGAGAGATGTGTGACTGCTGATCTTCCTCAATGAACTTATACATAAGCTTCATTATTGGTACATTTATAGTGCTGCATTTTGTCCAAATTGGAACCCAGAAATTCAACAATACACTAGAAGGATATTGCAATAAAACAATATATATATTTTAAAAAAAAACACCTTTCCCTGCACAGTAGACAGTGGTACACATGTGGGACTAATAAAGGTCATCTTATCTTATCTTATAAAATATTTCTTCATGAGATACTGTGAGGTTTTTGTTCTTCATCTAGAGTCTCAATGGGATTACTTGTATAAATTTTAGTTTAAAAAAATAATGTGTCACTTCAACGCAGATGCCTCACTGAGCATATGACACCCATTTCACATCTTCACCTCTTAAACTGCGGCATCAGTCACACATACTACAGTGAGCCGTGTGGTGATGTGTTTGTCAGGCCAGAGGCCTGAGGGCACCCCAGCCCCCAGAAGGGGCTCAGCTGGGCCACAGGGCATCTGAGGGCATCAGCCACTGGCAGGGAGTGTGGTGAGGGGAGATAGGCCTCCATACCTCCGAGAGCCTGAGATGTTCCCAGAGAGGTGGAGTCTAAGACCCAAGCTGACATATAGACACAGACGAACGCAGACACAAACGTGCATTCCTACCCCCATATACACAAACAAATACTCTGCAATATATAAGGTGATTTTTAATATTCTTTTCTTCTAATATCAAATTTCAGTGACATCTGTATGAGATGAGCTTACTTGTTTGTCTTTGAATGTAGATTGTACGTGTGTGCGTGCGCGTGTGTTGGTACATATATACATATATATACATATATTTTAATTCCCCTCTCGTCCCTGTGGGCCTCTACCAGAGGCCTGGGAGCATGAGGGTCCTGCACAGTATCTTAGGGTAAATTAGAATAGTGTAAGTGTTTCTGAATTAATAATGGGTTATAGCTCATGATAACATCATATAAAACCATCAGGTGAGTTGAATATCAGGTAGGAAAACAAACATTGGGTCTGTTTTCTATTACGATTATAGTGCAAATGGTGACTCTAATCTAAGTCACAGCCAAAACTCTTGGAGTTCTAGTCACAAATAATAGTTGCACATGAATTTTTTTTTTATTACCACTAGATGTCAGTAGTCATACGATTTTGTCAAATGGAAAAAACAAAGGATGGAGTGGAACAGATTGAAAACTGCTAAATATCTTTCTTTATAAGCAGGCCTAACATTTCCTGTTTTAAAGTATACACGAAAGATTAGGACATTCTGTTACACTAGGGGCATGTAAAACATGCAGAGAGAGTAATTTGTCAAGCTGAAATGATTACTTAAATTAAAGCAATGCTTTAAATACTATTTAAGAGATTGCAATAAACGGTTAAAAATGAACTACCAGCATTGAGTAGAAAATAACTAATAATAATCATCATCATCATCATCATCATCATCATCATCATCATCAGCTTCTTTCCTTAAAAATCATGTAATCATTCTAAACATGTTGAAGTGCAGCCGCACTCTGAAAGATTATGACTGTGCTTAAGCTCTTAAACTTGAGGACTGTTGGACACCACAATCACCTAAAACAAACGTCAGTAAAGAACCGCTGTGGTCTCGACCCATATCAGTTCAAACTGTAGGAGCCAGTTCAAGTAATGCCCAATGGTGTACAGACGTCTTCATGGCTAAGGAAATACAAAAGTTAAAGAGGAGCCAGTCAGGTCCAGGGAGCATTTCTGAATCATATCAGGGTCTCAGTTTAAAGATTTAAGTCCAGTGGTTGTTCTACAAAATAACTGTTTTCAAAAAATAACTCCAAGATTTTCAGAATCAAATGTAAGAGGCTTCCAGTCAAAGATGGCAGCTCAGCACAGGGACCTGATGAGAAGATAAGTCTCACAATTGTTCTGTGTGTCGAGCTGAACTGCCCTTCTCAGGCTCAAGATTTTTTTAAAGCCGTAGATATGATCCTGATGTGTGAATTTTCAGGGGGATTTTTTTTTAAATAAATTGCATTTCTGATAGAAGTCTCAGCATTATCTCTAATGTGTTTCATCATATTGCAGTCAAATAATTTACACCTCATAAATATATATATGCATTTATTTGAAAAAAACAAACAAAAAAACAACAACATCCGGTTACATTTTTAATGGGGATTTCCTTATTTTAAGATACTGAAAGTTTCGTGGACTGAGCAGTTAAATAATCAGGAGAAGGTTTGGATTGTCATGGAAACCTGCTTGAATGAGCCAGCAAGGTTTATTTATTCTTATGACCAGACATCCACTGCTGTGTTTAACAGCTCCTCTCATGCATTACATTTTATGTCTTGGTTGATCTTTTAAGGTGTTATAAAGTATTAAGGTAATCACACACATAGAGTGACAGATCAGAAGAACATCAGGTTCAAAAACAATCAAACCACTAATGACACTTAATGAGAACATTCCATTACGACATATTTCATACACGTTTCCCTCGTTTTTTAATTTTATCAACAAGTCCCGACTGCATAGTTTCTTCATCCTCCAAGTTCTAGTTAGATTCAAGACCTTCTGTTTTGCAGTCTTCTAAAACAACACATCCAAACATGTGAGTGCTGATCAGGTAAAGCAATGACTCTCACATCAAACATCCAGCTTATTGGTCCAAACAGAAGGGTGGTGCTGACACTGACATGTTTAATATTTCCCTTAAATCATTCCTTAATCTGAACTGACAGCCAGCTCTAGCCATTGTGGTGCCTACGATAGATGAAATTATAATTTGGTGATCAAACGCATAGCTACACAGGAGGACGTGACTGTTTCTTACAGATATGTATATACAAGAACTTCTCTGTACTATTGGAATTTTGTACAAACAATTCCTTTTGAATCCACAGTTTGACAGATAATGACAGGCTATCCTTCACACCCAATCCCAAGAATATTGTCTTTTTAACAAAAAATGTTCAAAGGATTGAAAATGTTTTGTCATTTGGCCCCCAATCCTAGGTGGTCCTTACCTGAAAGTCTTGATTAGTATTTCATCTAATAGAAGGTCACAAGTTCACCTGTGCTGCATTAAGCTCACATTAACCATGTCCCAGCAAAGTGCTAATTATACCCTGCTGTAACATGACATCTGGAGTCACTATGGTCGAGGAAAGAGTCCTGCTATACTCATTTGAAGTCTGCTTCAGGTTCACCGCCTGGGGATCATTTTGTAAGAGTCTGTGGACAAGCAGGT